TCGCAGTAAGCGTCATATTGGTCTATATCAAAATTATACCCCTACCCATCCCTTTTCGACATAAACGCCCTCGCTAAACTTCACAAAAAGAGTACGTCAACGTAGAGAGGACTCCGTTCAAATCATACACCCCCTTCTCGTCTGGCCCGAACATCTCTCATCAATGCCTTTGCCTCTTCAACTTCGACTCCATCCTGACAGAGTTCACCCGCCAATTGATCTGCTCTTTCCAGGTCACCGTGGCGCAAGGCCCACCGCGCAAGCCACAGACGTGCCTTGGATGTCGTAGCCGTTACACCGGTACCATGGTATGTACCATCATCGCTATCGTTCTGGTTGCCGAACGAAGACGACTGTCGAGCGCGTCGTGAGCCTTGCTGACCTTCACCACCGGACTGGTCATCGTCATTGTCGTTGTCGGAGACAAAGGATTCATCCTCGGGACCTTGGCCGGTTTCCTGCTGTAGAGTGAGCTCCATGTATGCCGCAGCTTCTTCTTCTTCACCCAGCCGTTCGAAGAGGGTGGCAATCTGGTGCAGGGTCTCGGGGTCGAGAATCTTGCGCCCCGGTCCGCCCATTCCACCGCCCTGAGAGGCGTCGTCTGCATAGTATGAACCGGCAACGAGAGCGCGCTTGAGCGCTTTGATGCTTTGCTCGACGCGGCCCATCTTGGCATAGCAGGATCCAACAGCCTGCCACATTTTGGGGTCGTAGGGCCGCAACGCTGCTGCGCGCTGGTAGTAGAATAAGGCGTAGAATGACATGTCGAGCACTTCGTACGCTTGACCCAACCCGTACCAAGCACGGTAGTCTTTGCGGTTCACGTCAACGGCCCGGCGGTAGGACTCAATTGCCGCGTGGGTATTTTTCATTTCGATGTATTCATGGCCCATGAGGGTCCAGGCCGAGAGAAAGTTGCGGTCAAGTGTGAGAGCGCGTCGGAAGTACATCACAGCTTTCTCATGTTCGGATTTTAGGGAGTAATAATTGCCGACAACACAGCATGTTTCAGGGCGAAACTTGTCGGTGGCGGTTGCAACCTGGGCGACGAAGGCTAGCTGTGGACGCGCTCCCATGACGTAAAGTATATTCGAGTAGTGATCGAGGCTGTCGAGACGGTGTGGAGATGTTATCAATATCTCCGTAAATATATGTGATGCTTCTTCAAAATCTATTAGGATAGTTAGCCATAAGTTCGGTGATGGAAACGGACAGACCAGAACCTTTCGAATGGTAATAGAGAAGCGCTTTTTGTGTCTTGAGGAATGCGCTGGTAGGAAAGATGGTCTCTAGCTCTGACAGGGCCTGATAGGTGTCTTCGGTTGCCTGGTAGAGCTCTTGGCTGCAGTAAACGTGAAAGATGAGGGTCATGATATTCTGAGGGAGAAGGTCTACTATTTGTTTCAACTGCGCAGAGGATCAGTAACTGACAACAGATCAATCAGCAGCAAGGCGACGTACGTCTTCAGTGCTTGAAAGCAGATCATTCAGCTCCTGCCAAGCACCCCAATGAAATGGGTTCAAGTGAACACTCCTGATAAGCCATTTCTTGGCCTCCTCTTCATTGCGACCTTTGAGGAGGACAACACCATAAAGATACTCCAGCCAGCCCTGATTGCGATCTTCCAGGCCTCTTTCTCGTCTCTCCGCAAACCACCCTTCGAGCCCCCAAGCCAAGCCGGGGAGTTCCCGATTGACGGTCATCCCTCCATCTGCCGGGCCCAGCACCATCTCGGTCTCTTCATCCTTTCGCTTCTCCCCCGCTAGATATTTGGCATACAAGGCAAGGAACAATGACTTTTGACTCAGCTTGGGATATGGATTTCTTGTTGCGCTATTCTCTTTGACACCCGGGTACGGAGCAGCCTTGGCTTTGCCTTTCTGCGGAGTCAATGATTGTCTCGTTTTCGGTTTCGGCGATGTCGTAGGAAGTGATGTGGTGGAGAGTGGGACAGGAGGTATGGTTGGTGGAAGGAAGACAGCAGCACAGCGGTCATACTCGCGCGTATCAAAGTAGGACTTCGCCAACAGATATTTATGAGCTTCTTGGGCCTCTAACCCAACCTCGAGAGGGTCTTGGCTACGAAGGTAAGGATTCTGGGGAGTCGGCGGGGCATCGGCTATGTCCATTGGCGAGTCAGGATTTGTATCATACTGATCAATCGGCAGGAGGGAGTCGAGCATCTCGGCAGCCCTATTTTGAGGATGCCAAATCAGTCTAAAGCTTAGCAAAGGGACAATCTTGGCCTGTACCATTTGGCAGATTGGTAAAGACATCGCTCGGAGCATTTGATGGTCGCGTCTTCGAATCGATACTGTAAATCCTTGATATTGTCTTCTGTTATATTCACCGCCATCTTGATCAGGATTGAGAATCTTCCGAGATCCTATCACACTGAATGTCCGCGATGGTGTGTTGGCATGCGTTGGTGGACTCGTTGTAAAGCTTCTTCCTTGGAAGTTAGACCGCTATCATATTCGTCCCTCATACAGATCAAGAACGGCGTTAGCTATCTCAACCGTCGCGCTAAGTCTATTGTCGCGCCTTGCTCGAATCGCGAAATGGCAGCAACACGGAACGTTGTCGTTGAGATGATCACGCGAGAGCTTCTGCTGCTGATCCCGTGTAAATTCAGGCTGCCCACAGGTATTAATATGCCGTATTATCTCAAACATAAGCAGATGACGAACCCAAATGCTCCGCGGGAGATTCTGACAATGGACAAAGAAGTCATAGCCATCATAGCTGATTGATAAATTTCCCGATTGGGCCACAGGGAGCAAACAGATCAAATAGTGCAAACGGTGCAATCCGCATCCCTCCGAGGGATTTCCGTTATCGCAAGTTGTTTCACCCCTCCTCGCTCTTGGTGTTGTCAGCATCAATACTTTAAAAAGGGGCTCGAAAACAATCCCATTGTTCCCCAAAGACACTTTTAATACAAGCAGGATGGCGACCACCACCAGTCGTGCTGCCTTCGAGGCGGTTTTCCCCTCATTGGCCGAAGATCTCCTGGCGCACGCTAAGAAATATAATCTGCCTGAGAATGCGTTGAAGTGGCTTGAACAGGTGAGCCCGGCCGACGCTCCTCGCTTACAATCGATCTCAGAACAGCCTTGAAACTGACCATGATTCTTTCAATAGGTCATCAATGTCAACGTTCCTGGTGGAAAGCTCAACCGTGGCCTCTCGGTTCCAGATACCGGCCTCGCTCTATTGCAGAAGCCCCTGACCGACGAGCAGTTCAAGCATCTCAGTATCCTGGGTTGGTTGACCGAGCTGCTCCAGGCTTTCTTCCTGGTCAGCGATGATATGATGGATGGCTCGATCACTCGTCGTGGCCAGCCTTGCTGGTACCGCCACCCCGGAGTTGGCCTGATCGCTATCAACGACTCCTTCATGCTCGAGTCCGGCATCTACGTTATCCTCAAGAAGCACTTTCGCTCGCACCCCTCCTACGTCGATTTCATTGAGCTGTTCCACGAGACCACCTGGCAGACGGAACTCGGTCAGCTGTGCGACCTCATTACAGCCCCTGAGGACAAGGTTGACCTGAACAACTTCTCCATGGAGAAGTACATGTTCATTGTGACCTACAAAACCGCTTACTACAGCTTCTACCTTCCCGTTGCACTTGCTTTGCTGTACCTCGAACTCGCCACCCCAGAGAACCTCCAACAGACCCACGACATCCTGATCCCCCTGGGTCAGTACTTCCAGGTCCAGGACGACTACCTCGACGCCTATGGAGACCCGGCCGTTATTGGCAAAATCGGTACCGATATTCAGGACAACAAGTGCTCATGGATGATCAACCAAGCTCTTCAGCGCTGCAATGCTGAGCAGCGCCAGCTCCTGGACACTGCCTACGGCCGCAAGGACAGCGAGCTTGAGGCTAAGGTCAAGGCGCTTTACAAGGAACTCGATTTGGAGAGGGTCTACAAGGAGTATGAGGAGAAGACCGTTGGTGAAATTCGCAGCAAGATTGCGGCCATTGACGAGTCTCAGGGCCTGAAGAAAGAGGTCTTCGAGGCATTCCTGGGCAAGATCTACAAGCGCACCAAATAGACTTGCTAAAAGCATGGTGCATATGCATTCAGTTTCTGAATGCCATGCCTTGATTCATTCTGCCAATCCGCTTCTAGTTTCATACCCCTCCAAGCACATAGAACAGCCCATAATTAGATGACGTGCTATTCACTTGCATGTATATACAGTTCATGAGCTAGTGTCGTTAGACAGGTGCTTTCTTGATACAAATACTTAATGTATATATAAAGCCTTCATTGATTTGTGGCACAATAGCCGCAAATGGATGAACTGTACTTGACTGACTGCATGAACATTGGACTGAGGACCCGCCACGAACAGCTGTGCGAACGCATGGATGCCCATTTTGTCTTGCAACAATAGCAAACATCTGGATGAAAAATTCGAAATCAGTCTGCTTGCTTTACTGCAGCAGTACTGGTCCCTCCAACAACGGAGTAAGCATCCGTCAGCTAGCTTTGAAATCGATCCTGCCGGAGAAGCTAGGATGAGAGATGACTGGCGAGGCACTCCACATAGAGCGATGTCAATGTTTAAACTATAAGATGAAAGAGGATAAGCACTAATACATTTGCACATGTAATCCATGATAAAACCTTTTCAGCAAGCGCCTTAGAGTTGTAATCCTGACCTACTCTGTATGAACCTTCCGTCGTACGCTTTATCATATGCCTTAGAACCTGTGGGATGGTTTTTCCAAGGCATCTTTGATCTTTCTGTGTGCTTTTTTTCTTGTCCTCACTGATTCGAAATGGAGTTGCGCGAGGAGAAACCTATGTAATGTCAACTTATTCAACTCTGATAAAGGGACAGGAGGACCCACATTCCATCCACTGCTTTTGGGATCTCGGTTTTAATTGCTTCATCATAGCTCTTTAGAGCATCTGATTCCGACTTTGAAATACAATCGCCAAGGTATCTTCGCACATCTTCATCACTTGCACGAAGCTCATGATGTGCTCCCTTTGAAAGTCTCTACAATCTCAGGAATAAACCTTGAAGTAGCAATCAGACTAGCGTCGCACTGAGCTTGAAGTTGGAAAATCTCCGACACTCGTGCGCTTAGGTCGTCGATGACGGTAGCTGCCATAACCGTCTTTCCAGCTCCAGGAATGCCTGGAGAAAATAGCGTCCGCTTACTTGCCTTCAGCCAAGCCTGGTACCCGGTAGGGTATAGAAGCCATTGGCAAGTTCCCGGTTGCCGGTGATTGAAATAGTGGCTCTGCTGAGGACCGTAGTCGATTGGCGTAAGCCAATCCAGGATCTTCCGACGGTCTTCGTCATCTTGTCGTTGTATCACCTGACGAATATGCTCTTCTGCATCCGAAGACACAAATCTTCATAGAATTAGCTGCATGTCGAATAACTAATTAGCTCTAGGTACACACCGCTTTAACTCATCAATTGGCAGCATTTCCTTACAACAACACAAGACCAATGCGTCAATGTGAAATGCGGCAACCATCTGTAAGAAGTCAACACATGGATCTGAGCCGTGTGGATGCCTCAGCAGGCCCGAGATGTAGGCCCTTCTTTAAGGGGCGTAAGAATGGGGTTGATCATGTATGTTGCTGGGATTGATATTTGCTCCTTTGTCAATGAGTAGCTTTGCCACTGTCTTATAGCCTTTTGCTGAGGCGCGTGATAGTGGAGTCCTTCCACAATTATCACTAGCATTAACATCTGCTCCCTTATCAATAAGCAGCTTTGCTACTGCCTCATAGCCCTTGTCTGAGGCGCCTAATAGTGGAGTCCCTCCCCAATTGTTCCTGGCATTGACATCTGCTCCCTTATCAATAAGCAGCTTTGCTACTGCCTCATAGCCCTTCGCTGAGGCCTGTGATAGTGGAGTGCATCCCCAATTGTCCCTGGCATTGACATCTGCTCCCTTATTGATAAGCAGCTTTGCTATTACCTCATGGCCCTTCCATGAGGTGTATGACAGTGGAGTGCATCCACCATTATCACTAGCATTAACATCTGCTCCCTTGTCAATAAGCAGCTTTGCTACCGCCTCATGGCCATTCTCTGAGGCGCGTGACAGTGGTGTTCGGCACATCTCATCCACGTCATCAACGGTCGTCTCTGTCTGGAGAAGCAGCTTGACAATGCTTATCCGACCTTCCTGCGCAGCCCAGGATAGTGGTGTTTGATCTGCGTATTGTTTCAAGTCTTTCCTGTAGTTCAGACCCTCTGTAATATCAACTCCATTGCGCGCACTTGAAGGCGAGTTCAGAAGTGCAGCAACGACGTCTTTGTTACCGTTGGCTAAAGCGGCAAACAGCGGGTACCCGTATCTCTCTCCGAAAACATGAATATGCGGATCCTTTTTGAACCTTGTGCGGATGAGCTCCGAGAATCCTTTGTCTGCGAGGATATAGAAGAGACTCGCATACGGGCTGTATTCTCGAACCTTGAACTTTTCAAAAAGATGGTTGACATTGATCCAGTTGGACATGGGAAAATGAGATAGAAACTCATCCTGAGGAACTGCTTCCGCCGCAGCATTAGCATGATAGAGAACATGCTGACTGGCATACTCCAAAAATGGGTACTCCCTTAAGATTCCTGTCCGTGGGTTGGGTTTGGCCCCTGACAGCAGCTTACTAACAGACGCACGCACTAAGGGATGATTCATGTATGAGTCGCAACATTGTTTGAGTTTCTCATGGCTTGAGCTCTCCCAATTAAATCCAAGATCAGGCCACAATTCACGCAGACCTCTTTCTTTGACGAGAAAGTCTCGGACGGATTCATGGATGAATTGAACTGTCGGCTGCTTAGATTTTGTGATCTCAGCAAGACCTTTTGAGGAGCTGATAACACATCTGTTAAATCTGTTAAGGCTGTCAGAGGCATCTGGGACGGTGACATCTGGGATTTGCGCATCAGCCAGATCTTCCAGTGACAAACCAGACCAGAGAGCATGGTAGAACTCCTTCGGTTGCAAAGGCCGCTTTGCAAAGAGAATCCAGAGAATGCAAAGCAAGAAACCCTCCATATTCTTATTGTCACGCCTAAGGATGTCCTTGAACAGTTCGCTTAAATCACTCGGTGTTTCCGCGAGTCTCTTTCTCAAAGCCAGTGGATTATGTTGATATTCGTTGTTCAGAATATCAATGACTAGGACAATCCACATGAAAACACCAGCAGCTTTCCTGAGAAGCTGAGGTCGCAGCTCTTCGAGAAGCGCAGGGTCGTCGATTCGGAGGCATCTTTCGACGTAGGTTGCCAAGTCTTCACCATGACCTGACTGATCCTCCAGTGTAAGTCGGATTCCCCGTTGAATGACTATGTAGGGATAATGTCTACTGGAGAAACAGATTCGGAGCAGGACACCTTGATTTGTGGATTGTTCTGCCAGCTCTTCAAAGTATTGGACCATGTCCATAACTTGCTGTTCGTCACACTCATCAAGAGCATCGATGAAGCAGGTAAATGAGCGTTGACCGAGGGCAGAAACTGCGCTGCGAAAGAGATCCTTGAGAACATTCAAGGAAGGGCACCCATTCTGACTAAAGGAAATAACGTCGGGGTCGTCTAAAACTGCCTGGAGATCAGGGTACCCTTCAAGCAGCTGGAGCAGCAGTGATCGGTACATCCCTAAGATCGACTTTTCCAGATATTCCCCTCGAGCGTTGAAGAAAAAGGAAGCAGTGATAGCAGGCTTGTAGCGGGATTTGCTCTTCATGCTTGAGTATGCGAACTTCATGATTGTTGACTTGCCCGCGCCAGGCTTGCCACTGATCCACAAAAAGCCATGGTGTTGCGTTAGTTTTCCGGGATCAAGCCATGCTTGGTAGTCAGGGTGGCTGAGAAACCATCGACATGTTTTGGCGAGGGCGGTTCTGATGCTTGATTTACGAGAATTGATTTGCTCGAACCTGAGGGAATCTAGTAAGCGCTGCCGGCGTTCGTGCAATGAACATTGATCTGCACGTCAGGTGTGAGCATGGCACTAATGACTCAAAGTCATTCCCAGGACTACTAAGCTAACTTACGAGGATTGGGCATGCAGGTAACTCTTGCATCTGCTTCGGCCATGGGTAGCTCCTCGAGCAATTCCCTGGCATATGCGGCCGCGGTTGCTGCAGCATACCTCTGCCATTCCTTGCTCTTGTGAGAATCTGAGTAGTCGCATATTCCCCGAATTGGGAGACAGGGGAGAATGTCCATCAGACCAGCAGCCTCCATTTCGAAACATATGACATCCAGTTGTCGCGCAACGTTGTCCCGGGTCGTGCCGCTTCTCATGACTTGGTTCCCTGAGGCGATCGCGCCGTAATGAATCATTATATCATTCGACTTTCGTCTGCTTCGTGGAACCAGCTTTGACTGGTCACATCCGTCACAGCTGGCCGTTGTAGATTCATGATCATACGTCGCGTGGAAGAGTCGATCAGGGGAGCTCGGGCGGCTGTACTCAGGGTGTCCTTCCAGCTTCAGCCGGAGGATGGATGGGACTCGACTGGGGTCCAGCTCGTGTTTTGAGCGGAGCGCGGACACGGCTGTCCCAAGCAAGTGGTGAGGAATTCTAGGGATTGCTGTTCGCTGGAACTGTCCATCTCCAATGACTTTCCCAAGATCATACTGCATCACCCTTGTTCCGATGACAACGTCACCTAAGCGCACATCAACCTTGCTCGGCACGCCACCACCAATCCCGACCATCAAGCCCACGCGGATAGCGGAGAAGGTTCGCTTTATATTTGTCATGACGTTCGCCGCGTTATTTATTCCATACTGGTCTGCTGGCAAGCACGCAATGACGATATTGTGCCGCTTGATGCTCCCCAGTACGTAGGTGTTGTTATCGTCTGCATGCCTGGGTAGGGCTTCATGAACCTCATCCAGCATGGCCCGAGCTGCTGCCATCTCTATGTGCAGCGCGCAGATCCAGGCGATGGTGTAATGATCGTGCCGTGAGTTGGATGAACTGTCATGGTGGAAAGTCTTTTGTCGCTTTGGAGGGTGAGACAAGCTTGTCTCCGCATCCTCTTCGCGCCAAACACTTCTCCCATTCATCTCGGCAAGATGTCCATCTGGCTATGATTAACACGCACGACTTTGCTCGGCGGATAAATGGCGGTAAGGGTGGAAGCTGCGAATGGTAGAAGAGGTATCTGGTGAAAGGCAATTACCGCAAGGATTTTGGGTGAAGCTGTATTTGGACTTGGTGGAAGATGGGGGCGAGAGATTAAATACGCAGGCAGTCATGCATGCACAGCCACTACAAGTTGACTGCGTGTACCGTGCAGCCTCAACAACTTCAGAAAAAAAGGCTCATTGGCGCCTCAGACTCAGAGGACATATGGCGTTGAGGAAGCTTGACTATAATTCACATCCCTTTTTCAGATTCACCTGCAATATCAGCAGTAGCTCAAATGGTTGCCTAGCACAATACAAAACCCAACTGTCATCCTGTTAAGATTGTCCCTCATTTGCGTGACAAATACATGAGGGGAATCATATCTCTGTTGAAGATGATCAAGCAGTGTTTGACCTTGTTTACCCATCATATCTATCAATATACGCTCTTAAGGGCCATTTAACAATCACCCACCTATTGCTTTATCTTAGAGGCTCTATAAAATAAGTAAGCTAAGTAGTTCACCTACTCCACCTTTTCTTGCTCTATTTAATGATGCAGTATAAGGCTATTATTATTACAGGCTAGGCTGTAGGAAAACCTATGACTAGGTATGTACAAAAAGAACTCACTAAAGAACTAGAATAGGGGGTTCGCGGGCCTGGATAGAAATATCTGTTTGTGCGCGGCTTCTAGTGAGAAGTTTAGAATCATGGGAGAAGGTGACTGAGTTAACCCAGCTGCTATGGCCCTTGAGCGTCTGGAGGCATTGCCCGTTGCTGGCAGATAGACCTCCATCTCGCTGCCAGCATGTGCTCACTTGCTCTTTAAACCATCGCTAAAGCTCTAGCGTCTTGATTAATCCGAAAGATGGAGATTTTGACTCCACCCGGCCACGCCATACCCTCTCGGCGTTCAATCTCGGGCTTAGGATTGCCGATTCATCGGACAAGCAACAGACAATCAAGAAAGATGAAATGACATTGCGCTCATCATATCAATCCTTTTCAAGCTCATTCATCTGTGACAAGAAACGAGTCAGGACGGCTATTTCGGCTGTCTTCAGTCGAATGGGTGGATCTTGTGTGGCTGAAGGCGACGAGATGGTGCTCGCTGTCGTGGAGACGTGGATGTCCGCGCGTCTATCGAAATAGTTCTAAATCATGATTCAACTGTTCGGTCGCTGGCCGCTTGAGCCATCAAGTACCTTTTTGTCTCTCTCTGTCTCTCCTTTTTCTTCCAAAGGATATGAGCCAATCCAACATGTTGTCTTCACGGCGGTCGACACACTGTTAGTGGCCGCGGTTTGCTGTATCGTATCCTCGCCATCTTTTTCGCCTTGAATTTGATGCGATGAGGCTGCAAGATGCATGGTTCGCCGTCGCAACGGCATTCACCTTTGCACAAGCAGATCGCGGGCCGTATTTCCAGTCGAGTCGCTTTGAACATGGGGACTTTGGACAATGGCCCACGGAGTTCTACCGTTCGACTGGTCTGATGGGGCCTATATTGAACTACGTGGAGTTCAATCCCCAATGCAAGGACGGGCAATACACACTGATTTCGCCCCGTGGAATGGCGGTGCGAGATCCGGGACCCATGATCATCGATCAGGATGGTCACCTGGTGTGGACCAAACAGTACGGCCAGACGTATAACGTGAACGTGTACACCTACAAGGGCCAGGACTATCTCACGTTCTGGGTGGGTAACGATGGGATCGTTGGCCATGGCGACGGGACATACTACATGGTAAGCCCTTTAGCCCCATGTTGAAAAAAGCGGCAAATGCCAATCATCGGTATAGCTAGATTCGGCCTACCAAGAGGCGTATATGGTCCGGGGAGCCAACGGCCTGCCCGCAGACCTCCACGAGTTCCACATCACCGGTGATGAAACCGCCATCTTCACCGTCTACGACATCATCCCGGCGGATCTACGGTCTGCAGGTGGCCCCGAAAAAGGCTGGGTATGGGACGGCACATTCCAAGAGGTCGACATCGAAACCGGCCAGCTGCTCTTCCAGTGGCGCGCATCCGAACACTTCAACTTCACCGACGGCTACCGCGGCCGCGAAGGCAACGGCGACTCCGAAGACCGCCCCTGGGATTTCTTCCACATCAACAGCGTCGACAAGGACGCCAAGGGCAACTTTCTGGTCTCATCGCGCTACATGAGCTGTCTCACGTACATCGACGGCCGCACAGGCGAGATCATCTGGCGCCTCGGCGGCAAGCACAACGACTTCCAAGACCTCTCCCACGGCGCCGCCACAAACTTCACCTGGCAGCACCACGCCCGCTTCCGCGAAAACGGCACGGCCATCACCGTGTTCGACAACGCCTCGCGCGGCGAGGGCGCCCCGCGCCTCACCAGCCGAGGCCTCTACCTCGACATCGACACGGCGCAAATGACCGTCCAGGTCCGGCACGAGTACTGGAACCCGCACCCCATCAGCAGCCAGTCCCAGGGGTCCGTCCAGATCCTCGACAGCGGCAACGTCCTGGTCGGTTACGGCTTCAACGCCGCGTGGACCGAGTACAGCATCGACGGCGACGTCCTCTGCCACGTCCACTTCGGTCCGGAATCAGCCTTCGGCGCAGGCAACATCATCTCCTACCGCGTCTTCAAACACGCCTGGACCGGCCTGCCGCGCACAAACCCGGATATCGCCCTGTACGGCTACGAGGCAGCCGTCAGCTGGAACGGAGCCACCGAGGTCGCGACCTGGGTCCTCCAGGGCTCGGACACGCCGCGTGATGACAACGAGAGCGATAACGGGAGCGGCCCCGTCTCCGACGACGAGTCCATCGCCTTCCTCAGCGCCGTCCCCAAATCCGGCTTCGAAACCACCATCCCCATCCCCGCACACACCACCCAGGACTACCTGCGGGTCCTTGGCCTCAACGCCACAGGCCATATCCTCGGCGCGACGGCATGGCTGCGCTGGGACCCGGCATCCGAGGAAGTCCTCATCGGGCCCGGTGACAGCGACGACGACGCCTCCCCGATCGATGTGCGCGCGCTTCTGTTCTTTGCCGTTGGGTTCTTCTCTGCCGTTGTTCTGGCTGTGTGTGCGTGGTTTGTCCGGCGACGATTTGCTGCGCGCGCTGCTGGCCGAGCGGCCGACCAGGAACGGCGCGGGTGGAAGCCCATTGATGATTTCAATGGGGATGAGCGTGATCTTAGCGATGGGGAGGTTGAAGGGGTTGAGTTTTCGTTGCTGGGGAATCAGCGATTAACGTCGCATTCGGCTTCGAGGAGGGATCTTGATGATGACGATTAAGGCAGCCTGGAGTTATATGCGACTCTTTAGTGCTACTGAACACCAATAAGGAATGCGTACAAGTAATTACTTCTCATATGATTCGAAGCAAATTTTGCAGGAGCGCAAAGGAGCTGCTTGGTATTTTAAGATTACCTCAACAATCAAGGACCATATTCGCCATCGATCTGGACATTTTATTACAGCTATTCCAATTGCATTGATCAATTTCATCATTCCATTGGCTGTCTCACAGCGAGACTAATGAGCGACTAGGCTATCTGGACCAGAAAAGATCGTTGGTCTCAACATCAAGTCATACTAACCAGAGACGAAGGGAAAAAGTCAATCCCTTAAGCAGTAGCAGACACCTGAAGGCGCTTGAAGCCGCCCTCGGCGGCGACCTGCTTCTGCAGCTCGGCCATGCGCTTCTGGTCACCGAGAGGGTCGGTCGAGTCCGCTTCCAGGTCCCAGGAGAGGTACTGGTTGGTGTAGTTGGGCTCAAAGGTAGCGTCGAGGATGCCCAGACGCTTTCCGTAGTTGGTGACCTTGGCCCAGTCACGCTGGACGTTCTTCAGATCGCGGCTGAAGTAAGCAAAGGAGCGCTCGAAGATCTTGCGGTTCACGGGGGTTCCCATGATGGGCTTGACATCGATGTACTCCTCGTAGGCCTTGGCGGGCTCCGCGAGGACGTAGTCGGTCGCGCGCTTGACGGCGCGCATGAACTTCTGCACCTTCTCTGGGTTGGCGGCCAGAAAGGCGTCGTTGGCGATGTAGAGAATGGAGCAGAAGCAGCAGCAGCCTAGCTCGGCGAGTTGGTCGATGCGGAGCATCTGGACATCATCGCGGGGACGGTTCTGAGAGGCAAGCCACTCGGCCAGCTCGACCATCTGCACGTTCTCGAGACCGATGCCGGCGTCAATGTCACCGCGGATGATGGCCTTGGTGACGTTCATGCCGCAGCGGACGGCAGTGTAGTCGTCGGCGGTCATGCCGTAGTACTTGGTGAGCTCATCGATTTGGATCTGTAATTCACCGCAGTGAGTAGTTGTCCTTAATCCAAAGAAAGACAACGCAAACCTTGCCAAACTCTCCGACATAGCCGATCCTCTTGCCCTTCAGGGAGCGGAAGTCCTCGGTGATTCCGCTATCCTTGAGGTAAACAACACCAGTGAAAGGCTCGTCGAGCAGGGAGCCGATCGAAGTGACGGGAAAGTTACGAGCTTTAGCCTGCGTGACTGTAAGCATCAACCCATCAATTCCACAGACAGCCACATACAGCAAGGGTATGAATCATAGCCTTGAAGCCCATGTCAACCTTGCCGCTGCCGATGATCTCGGTCACATCGGAGGGGTCATTGGGCTCCAGAAGAGCAACCTTGAGGCCCTCTTCCTTGAAGAAGCCCTTGCTGTGGGCAAGGTACAGAGGGGCATGGTAGGGCGTCGCGTGCCTACACAAGACGGACCACTTAGCAAGCGGGTCTCATAACACACAACACACAACACCAAACAGAGATCAGTAGCAGAACAACTGCAAAAGCCGTACCAGTTGGTCAAAAAGGTGATCTTATCAGTAGACATTTTGACACAGATTCACGTGGACGGCTATTGCAATTGTTCTAGAATCAGTCAGCGACGGAGAGGTAATTGGCCCCCTCATTTTCACAAAGGGGGTAAGGGGACAATCAGTGCCACGCATGTCCTTTCGCTAGTATTATCTAGATCAAGTTATGACAGTATAATCTCAGAACGACCGGGTTTCTGTCTGGATGAGCTGGGACCGCCGTTCAATCCGTATGCCAAGTCCCTCCGAGTCAAAATGACCGGAGAGACCTGTCGAACATTCTGAACCACGAAAGCACCAGGATTCAGACAGAAACCCAGATCGAACACCTGTCATGCGCGAGCAGTGACCGTTATTATACTATGTACGATACCTTGACCCATATCAACCCCTAGCGAAAAAGACCCCGAGGGTCATCTTGACTGCGCGGCCCCATGGTGAGTCCTACCAAAGGGATGGCAGAAGTTTTCTATCGATGAATCGACACGGATGAGGGGAAGAAAGATGGAAAAAGTTAAGAAGAAGAGCAGGAGGAGGAAGAGGAGGGGTAGAAATAGCAGGCCGGAGGGCAGCCGGCCGATTACCCCACCATTACCACCTCAGGCATCCAGGCTGTCCATGATCCAGTCTCACCGCAATAAACTCAACCTTCCATCGGCCAGGGTCCTAGCTTCAAAGGTTGCTATCCACTGTGGGCTACGAAAACAATCAACTGCTTTGATTGGCTTTAGACGACCGTAGGTGCGCTTTGCACTGAACAGTATTACCATTCTCATCACATCACTATGATCGTGTCCCCTCCTTCTCCTCTCCTGGATCCGATAATTGCCGGACAGACCATGCGAAAATACGTAAATAGGAAAATGTTTGGATGCAAATACAAACATGGGCCCATTGTCCTTTGCAACCCCCGTGAATCATGCTCATATCATATCACCATGCTTGCTCACTCCTCCAATGGTCGATGTATCAAGCCTTGCTACTAGAGATGGAACTACAGTAGACACTGAGACATACAGAATGTATTCTCTTAGGTAGCTCTCATCTCTGTTGACATAGAATTCACCAGATGGAGGTTCAGGGAGAAAACATTGCAACAGCACGCTATGTAGATGGCAAGACAGCACAAATGAAGATAATTTCAGTCAATAACAACCATGACACAGATGAACAGATGCAGACATGGCATAGAATTCAGCGGTAGCATAACACTCAATCATTAGGTGATCGGATTGACGCAAGATCTCAAACAGTCGGGTCAAATAAGACCACGTCAGTTATCTCCAAGAAATTATATCACGTAGTTGAAATGATCCAGAGAACGAGAAAAGAGGACATGCAGGTTTGATGCAGAATGAGAGAAAAGAAAAATAAGAAAGAAAAAGGAAGATCAACAAACAGTGGAGTTACAGGCTCTCCAATCTGCCGGTGACTTCATTCTTCTAAGTCATGCACGCTTGGAGGTGTGGATCCGCAAGGTAATCACCTGTCGATCATGGCCATCAGAATCAGCGGCTACCGTTGATGGAGATGCTATCCAGCGGCGACGAAGGTCGGTCCGAAGCCTTCTTCGTCCGCAGGGTGAGCGGGAAGTAATGGTCATCAGGCTCTTCCTCTTCGCTGGTACTGTGTCTTGTCAGTGACGTCCTCATTGCCCAGACTTAGGTATAGACTTACGGCAAACGCCATGCGATATAGTCCTCAGTGCCCAGGCCCTCCTTGACTTCCTGGATGGTAGCAAAATCACCCGGGGTCATCACTCCAGATCGATCCCGAGGAGATCCGGGCACTGACAATGGGCGCGAAAGCTTCTGCTCCGTTCCTCCAATAACATCGAAATAGTCTTCGGTGCCATCGAAGGATGAAGGGTAGGCTAGATATGGAGTCAACATCAAGTAAATAGCTGGGAACAAGGAGTTTCCTGACCTCTTCTTAGAGCCAGCTGTCTGGCTTTGACATATTCCAAGCCCATACGCTTCCAATCGAGTAGGTCACTCAAACGTTCCGTGCGGTTCCTTTGGTTAATGCGCTGTCGCCGGCTCTTCTGGGTGAAGTTGAACATGAACTCAGTCAGCTGATTGACAGAGTCATCAACACCCTTCATGCGACGGTCCACAATGTAGATTCCATAGTCGGAGGAGTTTTCAATCAATTCCTCCATGTAGCAGCCGAAACCGGACAAGTTGGTGGTGATGCTTGGAACGCCCATCACGGTACATTCTGCAGGCGTGTAACCCCAAGGTTCGTAGTACGATGGGAAGACTCCCAGATGCGTACCACGGACAAAGTCGTCGTAATCGAGAGGCAAAACAGGGTTGGAAGAGTTCAGGAACTCCGGATGGAAGATAATCTTGACGCGGTCCGTTGGGTAGTTGAAAAGCTGGACCCGACGAATTTGGTTGAGAATCGGATCTTCATGGTCATTGAGCATGTTGTGCGTCACGATGGGAGGCAGCCCGTGTCGCTTCATGGCAAAGAGTCTCCGACGCAGCAGCACACGGTCTTGGCTTGTGATCAGGTCCTTCTCGTCAGGCATGTTGTCGCCTTCTTTCCAGGCTAGACAACGCTCGTACATCCGTTTTCCGATACCCTTTTCGATCATCTCGATTGTGTCTCGCAAGGACTTGACGACAGCTTGACCCTTGAGCGCCTCCACAGTCAGCGACGATGTCTGCGCTGGCATGATAATAAAGGCCACAACAGTCGTTTTTGACCCGCTAGCTTTGAGGCGATGATTGAGACGAGCCATGCTCTCGATGAACATATCCACTCCCTTGTTCCGGAATTCATACCGACCTGCCGTGAAGACGTAGAGTGTATTGTCGAGATCAAAGTCATTGTGGCCATAGAAGTGACCGCGGACGAAGTCATTGATCTTCTCTTTAGACTGGGAGTGCAAGTTTTGGAACTCATGCACTGCCGAGAATTTCTTGACGTTCAAACCGTTGGGAAGGACACCGTCCGGTTTGCGCTTGAGGAGATGCTCACTCTCGAATGCAGTGATGTGGGAGACCGTGGTGAAGACGTCTGCGCTGTGCGCGGCGGCTCTCTCAATGCAGTACCTATGATAGATGCCTCTCTTGCCAGCCTCGGCGTCCACATCGAAATGCTGTAGATTGTTGTAGAAGTCGACGGATCCCGCGCAAAGATACCGACCGAGCAACGTTGCATGAGTCGTGAAAATAGTGGTCAAATCCATGTGCCTCTTCTTGGTGAGAGGAAGGGCGACACCGGCAAGCCATTCGTGGAAATGAGCGACCACTGCATGTCGGCGTTCGTGAGCGATAAACTGAGGCCATCGGTTAGCATCGTCGCCTCCGAGATCAATCTGCTGTCAATGTCCACGGAAGCGCACGTACTTCTCCCAAAAACCATGCCACCAGGTAACCGAAGACAATCGCCTCATTGGTCTCCGCATCCGACGCCGGAGACGGAATGCCGGCTGTATTCCAGAGGTCGCCCTTCCACTCGTCCAGGTATTTGTATCCAGTTCCTGTATCGATGAGGAGAACACGGGGAGCACCCTCAATCAGCCAGCGACCATACACCATGTCAATGCCACGCTCCTTCATGGAGTTCATGGTCTCCACCATGCGGGGGTTCGAGGGAGTCAGCTCCTCCACCTCCACGGCTGCAGAGGCCCGGTTCAGAGGCCCGATCAGGGTGTATCGGTCGCCATATTCAGCCGTAGTGACCGGAGCTTTAGATTTGAGCACGGAGTAAATACCACCAACTCGGTTGGCGACTTCGGTAGCAATCTCAAAGAGGATGTGGTTGCGCACATCTCTCTTGGGAGGGTCGGGACCAGTTTCCTCGCTGGCCATTGTGACGCCTTGAATGCTTGATTAGAAGCTGTAGGAGTACGCAATATCGTAAGAATCAAAAACAACAATTAAAAAGTGAAGCGCAATTCAAGACAGAGCTGACCAGCACGAGGCACGATCAGGCGAGGGTCGGAAACAACGAAGAGAGAACGGTCGACATTGAGGGAGGAAAAGAAATGGGAGACGCACGAACCTGCCGCTTTTCGTCTTTCTCTTTCTTTCTTTCTCTCTTCTCCAAAAAGAACGGTGGTTTCGACCGTGCGGGGGGCCAGAGATCCGAGTGGCGGGGATTAGTGTGGGAGGTTGGTTCTGGCTTTTGTCCAGATTCAGCCGTGGGTGAAGTCGTCCGTCCCAGGTACCCGGGGGTCTGAGGCCACACGAGAACAAGAAGAGGAGATTTTGAAGGGGATTCGAAATAGTGAAGAGATAGGATTTAAAACTTGGAAGGCCAAATTTTTCTGACGAAAGGAAATTTCTGCTCTCCCTAGTTCGCCTCCTTTTTAAATTTTAAATTACCGACTTACCTTCTTGCTCAGAGTGTTGGGGCCCGGAGGTTTGCGCTCACGGACAAGGAAGAGATGCTACCATCTTCCAGGCCCTTAGCTCGGCCAACCTGGACCAGGGTTTTACGTCTGTGCAACCGCTATTCTTCTGCCTCTCTCCACACTTGAGTAATTTGATAAGAGCTGGTACCAGTATATGGAGACAATTTATGGAGTAGACAAGATTACGCTCTCGGTGTGCAATGGAAGCTTTGTTCTTGTATTTAGTCTAGTATGGTAGTCCTCCCAGTCCTGGAGCTAGCTCTGCGACCACAGGAGATGTCGCCCCCTACATCAATTGTCCATCATCCGAATTTCCACCACTCTAGAGACTACATCCAACGAGAAGCTGATGATCAACAGAGGCCATGTCATTCCTTGCTAATGGGTTCTGTGTTCTGTTCAGTACTGTATAGTAACACATTCCCCGCTCGACACCGAACAGAGAATTCGAGATCTGGGGAAAGCTGCTTGGTTATGACGTCATGACCCGCCCGTCAGCTAGTCAGGCATGTGACTCTCTTCTGCCAATCAGGTTTTGGCTTCTTTTAGCGTGTTTGGACTCTCAGGATAGATACACATGGACTACAGAGTACAGCAGAGTAGAGTGACCTGATGGTGATGTCTATAAGCATAAAGCTACATGACATGAAGTTTCAACAAACTCCTCCCTCCCAAACAAAACTTCTTGCAGGTCGCCCAGTGACCCTTTCCACTGTGTTGCTCGTCCCGGTCTCAAAGCCAGTGGACGCCGCGGTTTCGAGGTTACTCAGGAACCAGGCATAGTAGTCTGAGACACCAGCTTTGATCAACGCTTCGTACCGCTCGTCTCCTGTCATCTTGACATGTTCGATCCGTCCGCCCAAGAGCACAGTCAGCTTGTCGGCTATCTGATCATAAGTGAGAAGCTCCGGTCCCAGAATGCGGTGATCACAATTGTGTGAGTGAGGATCTGTCAGGGCTCGAAAAGCGACTGCCGCAATGTCAATGGCACTGATGAAAGGGATCTTGCCGTCGCCGCAGGCTGTATAGATCTTGCTCTGATCGCGAATCACTGCACATGGGGCCTCTTCTGAGAGGTTCTCTAATGGCACAACGAGTGTCAGCAGGCTCAGCCAAAAGCACAACTGAGCACTTACCCATTACCAACTTGGGCGCAGGACGCAGTAATCGATCTTGTTATTGAGAAAATGCTGCCAGACCATGCCCATGCCGGGCTTGCCTGGCTCAGCAGAGGTACCGGCGACCAAAACATACCTCGCAACTGCGTGGTTCCCGCGCGCGTACTCGATGAACTCAACCAAGGGCTTCCATGGCTCAGGCACCAACGGCTCCATGAGATAGATCGCCGATATTTTTTCGCCTTCCACAAACTGATACCGAAATGGTTGCTCCCAGGTTGATTTGTCGAGCCAGTCGAAGGTCACCGCTGGCATACCTGGTGGTGCCGCTGCTGCACCGCGTCGCGAGGCCAGCAGAAATGGAACATTCGCATTCTGGAGGAAGCGAGCCACACGGACGGATGTTTTACCCGTCCCATCAGTCAGCAAAATGGCCATTTTCTCTGTGGACCGTGTTGTCATTGGGATAGGATTCACTAGGATCAGCGTTGTGTCCTTGCTTGCTACGCGATTGATCTATATACCAGTAATGTATGGTGAGATCTAAAGACCTAGCAAGGACTTAATATTAACTCCGAGCCAGGATTGTAGCCTTGCGCTCGGAGTAGAAGGTGTATATCCGACGGTGATAAAAAGGTCTCACGCTCAATAGCTGCAGATTAGTTGGAATCTTCTTGATATCGAGCAACCCTAGACTTTCCTGGCTTTTATCTCCGATCACTCCACGGCAATCCCATAAACATGAGCAAGACGCTCATTCAACGAATTTGCCAGCTCTGTTAAACACGTCTGGCAAAAGATATGATATCTCGGTTACATGTCAATTGACATTACCGTTCTTCCCTGCACCGTTCCCTCCTCGTCTGGATTTGGATATGGTCCAGTATCAAAGCACCAAAGGTCAGGCCCAGCTTGATCCCTACCTGAAAGATGGCCAGAGGTAATGGCGATAGAGCATGCAGGCATTAGACATTAAGTATCCGATTGCTTCTATTTCATCACTTTCTATCCATGTTATGCTAGAATCTGTCTATGAGCAAGTCGTTCAAAAGGAAAGCTGTTGCACCGTCTACCTCAGGGGAGAATCACAATCTTCCCTTCAGCTTCATTCTCTTCCATACACCGATGAGCCTCCACAATCTGTTCCATCCGCAACACTCGTCCTATCTTTAGTTTCAAACTTCCCTGCTCAACCAGCCTCAGCACCACATCCAGCGGCGTGCTCATGAAATCCTCAGACGTCCCACGGTACACCGTCAGCTTGATCCCAGAGGGGATGAACTCCATCAGATCCACCTTCTCCAAAACCCCCTTCTCACTTAACGTGCCAACCAGAGATACAATACCACCTTTCTTCACACACCGCAACGAGTCAGCCAGCGTAGCCACACCCACCAGCTCAAGCACTTTATCATAGTAACCCCCCGAGCCAGCAGCCAGAATCTGCCCCGCAACCGCCCCATCATCAATCCAGACCCGATCCGCCCCATTCTCAAGCAACAGCGTCTCCCGCTCCTTCTGCCTCGTCGTGCTCGCCACATACGCCCCGTGCACCTTCGCAATCGCAGCAGCCGCCAGGCCCACAGACGTCGTACCCCCACGTATCAACAACCGGTCCCGCGCCCTAAGCTCCAGCGACCGAATCAGCGCCCCCCACGCCGTCTGCACCATCACCGGTACCGCACCGAGAATTTCCCATGGCAGATTCGTCTTCGTCCGGAGGAGCTGTGTCTGCCGGGCCGGAACGCACGTGTACTCGGCGTATCCGCCATCGAAAACAGTCCCCATCCCGCCCATGGCGGTCGCTACGATGCTACCCGGCGGGAAGACGTGTTCTAGGCCCGGGGCTGCGTCGACGATGCCGACGGCTTCGATGCCGGTGATTCGCGGGTATGCGATGGGGCGGTGGCCTCGCCGGGTGAGAAGGTCGGAGCGGTTGAGGCCAAATGCTTTGATTCTGATGCGGAGTTCGCCTGGTTTGGGGGTTGGGATGGGGTGGTGAGTGAGCTTGAGAGCGTCTGGGGGGCCGGGGGTGTGCAGGACGATGGCTTTCATTGAGGACATTTTTCTCTTTTTGATTCACTCAAGTCAAGGTGCTATCTGTAGGGTTGTATCTGAAGGTGTGGTCACTATCTACTGCATGATCTGTGGGTGAAATGGATGATGGTTCATATTCTATCCCTTCCTGCATGATCCTTCCTCGTGCATATCACCAGTTGTCTGTTCTTATCTGCACCGAAGCGCGGCGCAACCATTTCAGGCACAACATCTGTTGCCTGAGGTATCTTGCTCACCAGTTGGTGGGGTAATCATTGGCCTGAAGGTTCGGGTACAAAATACAGATTCCAGGTTATCTCGTTGGCAGATGCAGATCAGCAGAAGTCAGGTACCTAGTTACTTCAGACAAGGCTCGCGTGCCTATTTGCCAACTCTTGCAACCTCTTATATGAAACCCCCAATGATCTCCCAAATATCGTAATGAGAACTCTTTAGACCCTCTACCTCGTATCTAATGGCTGGTCCTTTTGTTGTCATCGTACCTTGACCAGAGCAGATGAAGTCATTGGCTCTGGTTCTCGCTCCACAATGACCTCATGATGCTGTCAGTGTCGTCTTCCACCACGACCAAGAATCCCACGTCGGCTCCAGATCTATGCGATCATCTACGCACAGGGATAGCTATATAGAGTCGAAAAGTTCTCCTTTGCTGCTATCCTCACACACCACAAGCTACACCACTAATCCTCTCACCTCAACTATCCGTACGGAACCATCCACACAAAACGCCTCAATCAAAATCCAGCCCATCCTCTTCCTTCCAGATCTAGACGCAACTAAACCACCATGCCTCGCGGAGCAGAATACGACAACGGCATCCCCCAGTCCGACAACGCCATCGAGGCCGGCGAGACCAAGGTCCACGGCGTCAACTCTGCCGTACGTCTCGTCACCAACCACCCCCCGATCTCTATCACTAGACGGATACTGACAAAACGCATCAGAACGACCACCTCGACCGCGTCGACCGCACGGCTCCGCTCCCCGACGTCCCCGCCGGCGGCATGCACAGCGGCGGCGGTGCCCCCGGCCACTCGAGCGGCAAGGGCGGTCATGAGCCCAAGACCCTAGGCGAGAAGAAGGGTCTTGGTGCGCACAAGGCGTAGAGTACGAGGGAGGGTTTTCCATTCGAACTTGGGTTTAGAGGGTTGGCACTAGCATGGGCTGGCCGATGCGGGTTTTGCGGGAGTTGGGTCTGCGCGGTGCGTTGGACCTGGTCTGTATGGTATGCGATGCATTGAAGCGAGGGGCTTCCTGGTTATGGGTCAACTGTAAAGTATAATACATTTGATGAAATGATATGAAAGTATGAATGAATTATGGGTGCCATGTTGATTCTCTTGGTGGGGGATGTAGTCGAAGGGTAATGGTATAGGTATATCCGCGTGTGGGTTGCGCCAGCCGAATGGTATAGTAGCATCACTTCTTATGTACAAATCTGACGATGCAGCAGTGATACTAGGGCTCTGCCTCCCTGGCAATATTATGTAACATGTTAATGATTAGTGGTGCCGCCAGGACACTAAAAGTTACCCATGCCATGCGATACCATGCTATCCCGACAGCCTCCACATCAGGAACTCCTCGAGCTCTCTTCGCTGGTCTCCCGGGGCGATTCCTTCGGTGACTCGGTTGATGCTGCTGGCTTCTCGTCCGGCGACGAAGTACTCTTGCCCTGGACCAATTCAACCAGACGTTGTCCTAAGTCTCCGAAGCCGTCGATCTTGCTTAGCCTGGTCTGGAGATACTCTGCATCCCGTTGCATCCTGAGAATGGTCAGAACGAATTGACTCTGAAATCAGTAGAAGGCGACGTACCTCTGTTTACCGGCTTCTGTGCGGACGGTGACCTCTTCAAAAGCTCGGGTCCATTGATCGCGGTAGATTCTGAACACGGGGTCCATGATCATCATGACTGTTGTCTCCGGCAGGTGTTTGCTCAGAACACGGTGCAACGTGCCCGTTTCTTTCGTCAAGGTCTCCATGTACGGGTTGACATGATTCGATCCCGCCGTTGCGTCCCAATCAATCTTTTTCATTGCGTTGACGTGCACGGAAGACCGGCCGCTCATGATGTCGACGAGTTTCTCATGGATCCCAGATTGGTGTTCCTGGTACAGCCGCTTGACCTTATCGAATTCGCCCATCAGAGGGCTCGACGGCGCATGCCGTCGCACAAATTCCCTTATATAAGGTACCAAGGCGATAATAAAGCTCAGAGCTTGTGAGGAAAGAGCGAGATGTTTGGTGGTAATATTTTTCAGCCCCGCGCTCCTCGTAGCCCCAGCACCCAGAATGAGTTGCGAGGATCGAGAATTGAATAACTTCAATGACTCCAACAGACCAGGGGCTATATCCTGCATCATACTTGGAATATTGGCCATAAGAAACTGAAACTCCTCGATGCTCTTCATCATCGCCACCGCGCATTCGGGAAGAATATATTTCTGCTCGTCAATCACAGCACTGCGCACCTTGTCCTTGCCTGCGCCATTGGTAGCAGCGGAATCTGTTCTCGCATGCTCGTGCTGTTCCTGCGGCGACCAGATCCTAGAGACGGCGATCCAGGCTTCAACATCCTTGGTGCTTGCATCGAGAATTTTGCTGAGAATGGCAGTCTCAGTCTCGCCAAAATCACGCGCGTCCCAACGGTCAGAGTCCATCACGTCGACGAGACGGTGCCGTTGATTCTCCCCAAATCTGTTAATATAGTCGCGGATCTGGTTGCCGACAACAGTCTTCAGGGCTGTGCCGCTTCTTCCAGAAATAGCCTCACATTCGTCGGCGAAAAGTCGATTCAGTGTGAAGTACCGGAGAAACTCCTCCTTGGGCAATTGAGATGTCTGTTCCGACCGAACCTTCAATACCTTCGTAATCTGTGACTGAGCAATGTCAACAGCCTGTCCCAGAAGGCTGGACATGTCCAGAACCTGTAAGATTTCGTCCTGCGCTTGAATGGTCGCTGGCAGCCGAGGACCCATAGGGTTGGTCATACTCTGTGGGTCGGGACTTCGAGGTGGTGAACTGAGGCCAGCAGTTGCAGTACCTTCAAGCCCACTGGCGATGTCGAGAAGGACTTTGACTTGAACGCTAAGTCTCCGCAACGACTCGCTGATGCCGGTGTAGACTCGAGTAAGCATAATGTAGGCATCCTCCGCGTCTAGAGCGCGCAGGTTGCGAGCCAGTATCGATGATTTCTCTTGTTGGCTACGTTGTTGGGACCTGTGCGTAGAGACTGACACCACCGACTCACTGTCATCATCGCTGGAGCTAGGCATGTGTTTCCGGATGAGGCCCTTCATTTCTCGAAGAACTGCTGTCTTGAACGAAGTCGCTGCTGGCGTCGTGTATTGCGCACGGGCGAGGCCAATCAGATTCGTATGTAGTCGTGATCTCACATCTTCGTCAAACTTCATATAAGCTGGAGACGCCGAGGCACCAGAGCGCTGTGCTCCGCGTTGTCGTTGGAACGATGAGCCCCAGCGTTGTAGTGTCACATCCGAGGGGACATTCTCAATGTGTTTGCGCAGGTCCCCGAGTAGATCGTTCAAGAACCGGTTCTCGTATCCCATGCCTATCCGATACCTCAGTTGCGCAAGGTCATCGGACGCACCGTCGAGGGCCTTGAGTCTCCGCAAGTCGATCGGCCTCCTGGGTTGAGCTTGGGATGCACCATCCTCGCCGGTATTGGCGGTCTGCTCCCCAGCCATCAATCGCTCCACTTCTTCAAGACCGTCTGCAGCTTCCTCGATCTGCCCGTTCTCAACTAATTCCTCGCATCTGGCAACTGACTGAACCACATCCCGCAGCTGGGATACCGCGTCCGCGAGCATTCGCACATTCTCCCTGCGGCGTCGAAGATTGACAATTTTCAACCCACCCAACGCCATCTCACGGTCAATCTTTTGGAGGTCTTTGCGTAGGATTTGTATCCTATTGACCGAATCGGCTGCCTCGGAGTGTAACTCACGCAGGGAGCCCAGCGCGGTAAAAAATGATTTAGACGCAGTCGAGATGGAAGAGATGAGGTGGACCTCGACAGTATCCATGTACCACGAAAGTTTTTCTTGTAGGATTGCATTTGTGGCAAGCGCCTTTCTCCCGGTGTTTGCTGTTTCAGCGGCCGATTCATTGGTCGCTTGGCCGTCCTTTCCTGGCAACTTGGGAGGTCTTACAACTTCCGACTTCTCGGATACCACATCGAACGTCCGAGGGTTTTCAAGGTGAAAGTCATCTTCGAAATAGACCGATGGAATTACAGACAGCGGGGTGATGCCCTGGCCGCGACCTCGACCAGCCGACGACCGCCTTCTGCCCCGTGGATCAAAAGGCGATGTTGCTCTGGAACTCGTTGACAGCACGGACGCTCGTCTCTCCATAGGTATTGGCATCAGCGAGCCTTGCTCGTCCGATCTCGAAGCAGTCTTGCCATCCCGGGCCAGTTGAGCATCCTGATCGGCTGTACCCTCTTTTGCCTGCTGAAAGACTTCGTATAGTGACCCAACCTGCGACAGGTACGGCTGAAAGGCTTTGGAGTCAACATGGGGAATATTTGTCAATGTGACCGGAGGGATGTCTCGTGTGCTGGGCGGCTTGTACCCAGTGGACGCTACGGCGGTATGCGGAACAAGACCTGTGCGGACGATCGGCGGCTGAAGAAGGGTGGAAATTGCTGCACAACGCATTGATTAGCGGCAAGAGAAACTATGAAATACTAGAGATAACGCACCATTTTGTCCCGACTCCGCGATTGAACCGTGGTGTTGGGATGGATCAAGGACCCCTCCAATGCTAGCTATGGAGCTGGCAGTTGATCCTCTTCGCAAAGGGTACTTCTGAGGCGGAACGCGGGGAGATTCGATCTGATTGAGCGAGAATTGAGAAAGCGAGGGCGTGGATGTACCCGAGGCCAAGCTATCAATCGATTTGCGTGGGCTCATAGAGGACATGGCGTAGAGGCCTAATGACCGACTCCGACGGCCAGAAGTTGGAGAGCGACGCTATCTAAACATGACACGGGGACAGCTGTTCGAATCGTTCCAGTCGTGGCAGAGCGGCAGTTTCTTCACCAACGATCTTCGAAATGCGCAGTCGGTCTGTCAATAGGAGGAAAGAGACCAATTTCATTAGAAAAAGACAAGGGATTCAGACCGCAACGTCACCCAGATACCACCGAGCACTGATACGGGGCTTCATTCTTTGGCATCATGACAGCGCATCCTGATCGGGTAAGGCGCCAGGCCCCGAGGCCGCGGCACCTAGGCCTATTTTGGGTATCGGGATGAACATTTCCCCGGTACTGCCAGGCCTGCTTCTGCCTGAGGCCAAAATCAATTAACGCGTGCTTGGACGCGACGCGTTGCATTCGTGTTTCAACAGTGCAAAAGTTGTCCGCATCTTCTCCTTGATAGAGGTACTCCCGTCATCCACGCAATTCTCCCCCTTCCCCATCAGGCTTCATCGCTGTCTTCGATATGGACAGACGTACTCCCTATACCTTGAGCGTTCTTGCTCCCAGCACAGATGGCGCAGAAGAGTCCCGCACACAAATTCAAGCAAGGTTGCGCGAGTTTGTATTGGAATTCCAACTTGACAACGCATTTATTTACCGGTATTTGCGAGGCGGACATTGAAATCTTGTGCAAGACTAACCGAAGGTACAGTGATCAACTGCGGCAGAATGTTCTCGTCAAGCAATACTACTGCGACATCGATATTGCCCATTTAATATCGTACAACGAGGAGCTCGCTCATAAGCTCACAACCGAACCTGCCGATATCATCCCCCTTGTGAGTATTGCCCTTCAAACTCACAATGGCTGACTCTAACCATCTTGCGCCGCTCTAGTTCGAGGCAGCTCTCCAACAATGCACTCAGCGAATTGTCTATCCATCTCAGAGAGACATCGTCCTTCCGTCCCACCAGCTCTTGCTTCACTCATCCGCATCACACATCTCCATTCGTGACCTGAACGCTACAAACATCTCTCACCTTGTTCGTATTCCAGGAATTGTGATTGGCGCCTCTACAATATCATCCAAGGCCACCGTTGTCCACATTCGGTGCAAGGCCTGCGATCACAGCGAAAACATCCGAGTAGATGGCGGTTTCTCTGGTCTCACGCTTCCCAGACGGTGTGGCCGTGAAAAGCTACCCGGTGAAGAGCCTGGCGAGCAATGCCCCCTCGATCCTTATGTGATCGCCCACGAGAAATGCCAATTTGTTGATCAGCAAGTTCTCAAACTTCAGGAAGCGCCCGACCAGGTGCCGGTGGGTGAGCTTCCCAGACACGTTCTCATCTCGGCCGATCGATACCTGGCCAACCGAGTGGTACCTGGGTCTCGATGTACAGTGATGGGTATTTTCTCTATTTACCAAGCAAAGGGGGGCAAGAAAGACGCAGCTGTGGCTATTCGCAACCCATATCTGCGGGCGGTCGGCATCAGCACCGATCTGGATCATACAGCAAAGGGCAATGCCATTTTCACCGAAGAAGAAGAGCAGGAATTTCTGGAGCTTAGTCGCCGTGAGGACCTGTATGAAGCTCTCGCCAGGAGCATTGCCCCCTCTATCTGGGGTAATCTGGACATTAAGAAGGCCATTGTGTGCCTGCTCATGGGCGGTTCAAAGAAGATTCTGCCTGACGGGATGAAGCTTCGTGGAGACATCAACGTGTTGCTCCTTGGTGACCCTGGTACTGCCAAGTCGCAATTGCTGAAATTCACTGAAAAAGTATCCCCTATCGCTATCTACACATCCGGTAAAGGTTCGTCAGCGGCTGGTTTGACCGCATCAGTGCAGAGAGATCAGCACACGCGCGAGTTCTATCTGGAAGGCGGTGCTATGGTGCTTGCTGATGGAGGTGTTGTATGTATCGATGAGTTCGACAAGATGCGGGACGAAGACCGGGTCGCCATCCACGAAGCTATGGAGCAGCAAACAATCTCGATTGCCAAAGCCGGAATCACGACCATTCTTAATTCGCGAACTTCAGTGTTGGCCGCTGCCAACCCTATCTTTGGTCGGTACGATGACTTGAAGACTCCTGGAGAGAACATTGACTTTCAAACGACTATTCTGTCACGTTTCGATATGATCTTCATCGTTCGCGATGACCATGACCGCACCCGTGACGAGAACATTGCCCGACACGTGATGGGTGTTCATATGGGCGGCAGAGGTATTGAGGAACAAGTCGAGGCCGAGATTCCCTTGGAGAAGATGAAGCGCTACATCAGCTACTGCCGAAGGTATGTCTTTTATCGCACATCTTCAAGACAGAAATCAAGCTAACAAGTGAATCCAGCCGATGCGCCCCCCGTCTTTCCCCCGAGGCTGCGGAGAAGCTTTCCTCGCACTTCGTGTCCATCCGGAAGCAAGTCCATCGGGCAGAGATGGATGCTAACACCCGTTCCTCCATTCCCATCACCGTGCGTCAGTTGGAAGCCATCGTTCGTATCACCGAGTCATTGGCTAAGCTAAGCCTGTCGCCGATTGCCACCGAGGCGCATGTCGACGAAGCCATTCGCCTCTTCTTGGCGTCCACAATGGATGCAGTCACCCAAGGCGAAGGCCAGGGCAGCAAAGAGCTGATGGAGGAGGTCGGCAAGATCGAGGATGAGCTCAAGCGCCGTCTCCCCATTGGCTGGAGTACGAGTTTGGCCACTCTGAGACGGGAATTTGTCGACGGCAGAGGCTACACCGAGCAAGCCCTCAACAGAGCATTGGTGGTTCTCCAGAGACGCGATACGATCCAAATCCGCTCTGGTGGATCGCAAGTCTATCGGCACGGTGTATGATTCGTTTCCGTATTGGACTAGTTGCGAAGACGCGACCATCGAAACGCGTATATCATCTGGTTCATCTTCACATCAAGGGTTATGTATTAAAGGAGGGGAAGGAGTACATTTTGACCTTGCGATACTTGGGCACACAGGTTTGAAACGGTGTACGGCGCATGGTCCTGTTTCGGTCTATGGATTTTGAATGACTAGTTAGATCAATATATCCCGCCATGAGTGAACGAGATTGTTTCCCTGTAGCCTCGGACACAATTGCCGCGTGACTCTATAAACCTTTGGGCGACTTGCGAGTTGCTGTTGCATAGAGAGGAAACCCAAGTCTGCAGCGGGGAGCATCACAAAGGTCCCCACCGCGGCAACCCGGTGATGACGGAGTTGCTGGTCCGCATGATTTTACATTCTTCAAGACTTGAAACCCCTCAGAACAACAACCTATATTATAATCATAACCAGAAATGTAAGTGCTTTCTTCTCATAAAATCTCTACGGAGTGGATTGACCATCTCTAAAGACCCATCACCGATCTACACACGCTCACCCCGCATCCCCGCCTTGTCGACACAACCTACCAAGTGTGGCCCTACAATCGCAACTACAAACCATGGCACCTACAATCCGAGTCATCGGCTCCCTAAACGCCGACATGGTCTCAGTAACCCCTCGCTTCCCCGAACCAGGCGAGACGATCACCGCATCCTCATATTTCACCAGTGCTGGTGGGAAAGGCGCCAACCAGGCCGTCGCCTGCGGGCGCTTATCGCGGCGTAAACTGTCCTCGTCCTCCAAGAATACCGCAAGTCAGAGTGAGGGTGACATTAAAGTCGAGATGGTCGGGGCCGTGGGCGGACTGGACGGTCACTTCCAGGCGCTCTTGAGACCCACGCTTGAAAGGTCGGGTGTTGACACGTCGCGCGTGCGGGTGGTTGAGGATGCGTATACGGGGGTAGCGGTGATCATCGTGGACTCGTCGGCGGGCGGGGAGAACCGGATTCTGTTCTCGCCGGGGGCGAATTACCAGGGGATGCGGGCGACGCGCGAAGTGCTGGGGATGGGGCTTGCGGCGCCGGTGCCGGATGTGATTGTCATGCAGGGGGAGATCCCCGTTGAGTCGGTGGTGGGCATTCTACGGGATATTAGGGCGTGGAAGGCGAATAATAGAGCGCAGGGGAAGAAGGGTATCGAGGCTGGTCCGGACGTCATGTATAACCCTGCGCCGGCGCCGCCGGACGGGTTGCCGGAGGAAGTGTTTACCGCCGTCGACCATTTGATTATGAACGAGACCGAGGCTGAGCTGATGAGTCCGCCTACCGAGCAGTTGCTCAACGTTGTTCCCGGTGTGGAGGGGGAGAGCGGAAACGAGAAGGTGGCTCGGTACTTCCACCAGCTGGGCGTGACATATGTGCTTATCACGCTGGGGTCCAAGGGTGTTTGGTATAGTGCGACGGATGCGAGGACGTCTGGCCCTGCGGATGGGGTCAATCGATTCACGAAGCTGATTCCGGCCGCGAAGGTCAGCAAGGTACTGGATACCACGGCGGCCGGGGATACTTTTGTCGGAGCATATGCCGTGGAGGTGGCACGGTGGCGCGAGTCGCGACGAGCGGATGGCAAAGCCGGACAGGACATTGCTGCAGAGGAGAAGGCATCTCGGTATCAAGACGTCATGGACAAGGCGACGGGTTTGGCGACCCGCGCAGCAGCACGATGCGTAGAGCGACAGGGAGCGATGGACAGCATTCCTTGGGAGGATGAGATATGACGATGCTTGGTATGCGGTGAAGTCGGAGCTTGTAACGAGACGATTGACATGGAGGTGGATACATACCATACGATTGCACGAGAACGCTGTGAAAAATGGGGCAAAATGATTGACTATAAGTCAAGGTGGCAGCCCACAGGTCATCGGAACGAAGATCACTGGCGGGCATTGAAGAAAAGTATTCCTAGAAACTCGAGTAGAATGGAATGAGATGGGCTGTGGAATGAACAGGTTGAGCATTCATTCTTCAGTGCAGCAGCAGGAGATGCTTGAGCCTTAACGCCCACTCTGAGCTTACAAACTACGCCCATGCGTAAGATCAATTGAATGGCGGCACTCTTGCTAGCTCGACTAAGTCTCACGCAATAGACAGACGGTCCTAGCGTCTCCATGACGCTTTTCAAATCATGATGGTCTCGACGCAGCCGCTGGGGATGTGTTGTCCGTTTCAAATTGTCTCTCGTCGCGAGGGAACCACTGGCTGAGAACAACCAAAGATTTGACTTTAATTTTAGGTCTATCACTTTAGCCATATCATTGACAAATCAGCATGAATCCTCAATCAAGTCAATATGCGGTTACAGCTGAGCGATGAACACGGAGTATAGATAGAATATAGACGGCCTGATGCAAGGACGGCCGGCTTCTGAGATAAGCAGTCATGTAGGAGACTCCGTGGACGCCGAATCATGGCCATGGACCCAGGCATTGCTCAAGGAAGGGGCTGAAACAAACGATGACAGTGCGCGAGAGTAAGACGCGACATGCTGTACGGAATTAGAATCAGACTTTCGTGATCCTTGGAAGTTGAAGCACAGGAGGTCTGATTCCTGGTGAGTCGGTGGGACGCGTCGAAGGGATGGAATCGTGATAATCATAGTAGTGGTAGAAGTAGTAGTCTTTCTATCTTGCTTGTAATTATAATTACCTTTGTCATATCTAATGAGCCTCATACTGATGATCTTCAAGTATGTTGGCTCGGGAGTCCTCTACGGTGGTCTCGTTGTCGTGATCTATCATGAAGGATAAAGGCGTCATAGGGATCTATACTGTCGGATGATCAAAGACAATCAAGGGTTGAATGAAGATTATGGAATAACGGAACAGTAAGAGACACGAGTTGACGCGACTTGATGCACGTCCTCAACTTTGCCTACTTTCATCGTCTCTCGAGCATCTAGATAGTGGGAGGAGGTGAGGGGAAGCCACCAAAGCATGAAACTGGAATCGAATGGATCCGCTGGAAGAGGATAATTGGATTGTCTGGAGTCTTTGGATCTTCGAGAGTCCAATAGATATGCCGATTCAATAATTGAATAAACAAGGTGCGCGCCTTGCATAGGTCGTAGACAGCTTAAAGATGGAGTACATCGCCAACACGAACATGACGCGCTCCATCACGGTCCAAGTAAGTGTGGAGGTGGTCTGGAGGGAAAATACACCAGAAGACACGCCTCAAATACTTCGCTGCATCCCTCGTCCCTCATCCAGGCATGGAGATGATATCAATCACCGAATATCATACTACTACTTGATTCATTCTTCGCTGCTGAAGCATCCCTTTGCTGCATCTCTGTACCCAGTCAGAACAATTCCTGCCCTCCATTTTCACCAGGAATTCGCCCTGCCTGCTGCCCTTGCCTCCTCTTCTCTTCATCCAGTTTCATCCTCCATACGGAGTACTTCCTCACCGATCGTATATCTTCAGACCATTGCCTCGCCTGCCTCGTTCCTGATCGCTGATTTCGTTTTTTCTCCTAATCATCACCACCACGGTCTTCTGCAATCCCTCTCCTCCCTTCCACCAAAGTGTACGTCCACAGCAGTATCGTACCATATATACATTCAGCAACAATCAAACAGACCGTGCCATATTATCTCCGTCGCAGCCACACTGAATCCTGCTCCAATCATCGCTTACTTCCTCTCTGATCGATAGACGATCTCACTATCTTACCGTCAGCTGTGATCATCAGCTTGGACCGCCAATCCCTTGCTGACCCCACTTCCGCGAAATCAAAACAAATCCAGGCAGCCACTGCTCAGTCTCCCTCGGTCGGCTTTGACTGTTGAAATTGATAGCTCCTGATCAGTATTGAAAGAAGGCATTCTTGCTTTGACAGCAAGGTCTTTAGCGGGTGGGATTCGTTTCTGCATCCCGTCATTATGGCGGCCATCACCATGACTCCTACCACAATGCGCCAGCCCTTTGCCAGCCTCGATGCGCCGCGTATGCGCTCCTTGCTTAAGACAAAAATGAACATCAAGAACCAGCAAACCGGTATGTCTTCGCTCAGCCCTTGACCACACATGCAATATCCTTCTAACACTCTGCTCCACGTTTAGGTGCGTCGATATCTGCCAAAAGAAGACCTTTGGCTGAGGTTGATGCGGAGAATATCGACCCGGCCACCCTAAACATGTCAACAAAGCGAAAGCGCGGCTGCGATGAGGAAGACCATGATCCCAGCAAATGCTCTCCTAAACCACTGAAGACTTCTCGTATGGCTCTGACGGTCGTGAAATCGAACATTACTCCCCACATGCCTTCATCAACCTTCAAGGCGCCCCTCTCGAAACCTAAATCCACTCCAGCTCTCAAGCCTGTCGGCCGTTCGCCTCAGGGCAAATCTTGCAAAGCATTTGCTCGTCGCTCTACCATCACCAAGAGTCGGTCAGAACCTACAGGCAGAAAGAGCATATCCCGGCCTTTCTCCATCGCGACAGCATTGGGCAATGTGCAACCCCCGAGTCAGCCCGCCCCTAAGACTCCAGCGTCCTGGTCTTTTGAGATCTATGTGGACTCGGAGCAGGAAGAAATGACCAACCTGATGCAGCACTCCACCTGCGTGCTGGATATCAGTGATGACGAGGGCAAGATGGAACCTTCAAGTCGTGGCAAAGAGAACATCCCCCCGTCTGAATTGGGAATTGACCTGCCTCGGTCCAGTGAGCGCGCCGCCGCTGCAAGAAAGACCGACATGACAGATGAGCCTCGCTCTCCGCTCGGTGAGCTCAATGCCGCTGACTATTATGGCGAAGACTGCCATGCCTTTTCATATGCCGTGATCTACGACGAGGATGAAACCACCTCGGAAAAAAAGACAACCCTACCTTCTCTGCCACGCAACTCTACCCATCCCACTCGCACAAAGTTGTCAAGTGTATCATCCATAGCCTCCATCCTGGCAGCTACTCAGCCCGTCAAGGCTGCCGGGTCCACAAAATCTACGGTATCTGAGGCAGAAATTGAAATCTGGGAAAGCCAGAGCACTGCAGATGATTCAAAGGCAGGAGAGAGCAACCTCAGCCCTGAGCTCTCCTCATCAACCTCTTAGTTAGATAATGTTTGAATAATTATTTGTCCTGTCGATAATAGTCTGGATGGAACCGGCGTTTGAACTAGCGGGTTTGGGCACATTCTGCATGGCGTTGAAATGGTTTTTGTTTCTGGAATTGTACAGATTTGGATACCCACTCTCTTGGTCTTGTCATTTCTTTCCATAATCAGCAATTCTACCCGTCATGACGACCTTACGTTCCTTAGTCTTCCTTATAGTCGCTCCCTGCCTACCTTTTCCTTGTTGTAAGCAGTTCTGCTTAGTGTGCTCAATCTAATCGTGACTGGCTTCTCGTCATCTTGGCCGTAGCCGCCCAACTCGTAAGCCCAATCCTATGCTGAAGACATCAACGTCTCGAGCACGATAATTTAGGGACAAAACCACCCTGAGAAGGAGGATCATCGCTTTGAAGGTCCCTCGGCATCCATATCCTCTCCCTCATCCGACTCTTCCTGACCCGGATCATTCTCCTCATCCTCGACCGCCGCCGTAGCAGCAGCCTCCGCCGCCGCCACCTGAGCCTCCAGCATCTCAGCCTCCTCCAGCGCTTCCTCCTCGCCCTCGCTCTCCTCTTCCTCGCCTACGTCCTCGCTCCACTGCACGCGTTTCTCCCGCGCAGCACCAGGGGCAACCCCTCCCACCGAAGCAGCGGCATTCGCACCCGCACCCGCCGCATCAAGCTGACCCTTCCATGATCCCTTGATCGACGCCCGGATATCAGTCGCAAGCTGCATCTCCCGCGAGGACGTCCCCTCCGGGTCCAGCGTGAAGTCGGCCAGCGAGCCGTCCGGCGCCACATGGTCGGGGAAGCGGAGGACTCGCGCGAACTCGCGCTCGTCGGCCGCCCGGCCTTCAAGCATGCTCTGCACCTTGGCGCGCATGATCGTCCGGGCCTTGCCGATGGTGCCGCTGCCGAACCAGCCGTCGACGACGATGTCGCAGGTCTCCCTGAGGAAGCCTGGCGGTGGCGGGTCGGGCTCGTTGGGGAAAAGGATGGAGCGCAGGAGCGGGTCGGTGATGTCGCAGAACATCCACATGCGGCCGTCTGGCGGCAGGGGTGGGGTGCCGGTGAAGAGGTGCGTGTCGGTGGGTAAGGGCGTGAAGGCGTCGGGGCCCGTGGGGACCTCGTTGGGGCGTGGGATGGTGTGTCGTCGTCCGCTGCCGGCGTCGCGGGCGAGCTCGGAGGTGCCGGAGAGGATGCGGAACATGACGGTTTGGTAGATGCGGTAGGTAGGGGAGGTGCGTGGGTCGTGGCCGAATTTGATGATGGCGTCGCGCCAGGGTCCCGAGCGGAAGATGTAGCCTACATAGGGGACGGCGTGGCGGAGGGCGTAGCGCTGTTCGGAGGTTTTGAGGTGGTTGCGGAGGCCGCGGCGGGTCCAGGCTGGGCGGTCCTTGAGGAGGTCTTCGACGAGGGCGATGGTTTCTCGTAGGGTTGGCTCGAGGGTGTGGATGGGTGCGAGGTTCTCGCGGGGCTTGGTGGGCACGGGTGCGTCGAATGGCACTAGATATGTGTGGACTTTGGCGGCTTGGGAGGTGTTGATGGTGGTGAGGTTGCCGGAGGTGTCGACTGATTGTCGGACGGTTGGGTTTTGACGGTACCTTTGGCTGAACTTAGTGTTGATCAATCCATCTGTAGTGCAAGGAGTCATACATGTAGGTAAATGGGACGTCCCCATGGCTGAGGGATGGGGGTGGTATGATATCAACGTTGGATGTGGCACCCTTGCTCATGTCAATATCGAACTGTTTCATCTTATCATCTGGGTCAATCTTTAGTCATGACACTCTCCAGTCAGAAATGCAATGCTTACAGTCAAAAGAGAGAATCTGCTCCCGGAATCGATTAGTGAATGCGCTCCCGGTGGTCGAGTAGACAAAGTCTGGCATGCCTGGAGAACGTATGAACAATCTAAAGCCGACATGAAGAGAGGGGCAATACAAACCGCGAAACACATGCGTCCTATTAACCATCCCAACAGGCTCAACCTTATACTTGCCCACGTTGTCACTCAGACTTCGGAGTAGCTGCTTCGCACTCCTCCGCTGGGGCTGTTCATTGACAGTAGTGACTGGAACACCAGAGAAAGGCTCATCCGAGCCCCTCTTGCGTTTCCGACCAGTCCTCTTGGGAACTGTCACTTTAAGCAGGATATTATTAGAAGCAGAGCTCGTCGACTGGAGTGGTCGAGACATGGCATCCTCTGGCCGCAGAAAGAGTTTGGCTCGGGTATCAGCCTTTGGGGGGTTCAGAATCTGATTTCGTTAGCAGTCCTTTTTTATGCACAGACGGAGTTGCAACATTACCTTCGAGATGCCTGCGTTGCCCCGTAGAGTTTCAATTGCCTTGTCGACGTTCTTGATGATGGCCGGGTGCTCGACGCTGACGATGTCACGAGCGGGGATAGAGTAGTAGGGTGCTGTTCTTGTCCCTTGTTGGTCCATCATATTGTCTGGACTGGCCGAGGTCTTTTCGTCCTCCATCATGACTTTGTGTCGTTACCAAAATTTTGGCGTTGAGCTAGATCGTGAGACTGTGGTCAGGGAGAGTTGAGATGTATATTTCCACCGGTTCACAAATGGGACCTGGTGATGTATTGGAACCGGCAATCCAGCCGACTCCACAGGATGAAACTAGTCTTTCAATCCGTGAGACTAGAAATCTGGAAAACCTATTTTGACAATTGATACATGAAGTTTATAATGACGCTGAATCTCGATTTGAGGTATGGAGTATCTTGTCTCTACTGGTGAATAGGAAATTGCCGAGTCACATGACTTGTCTTAAAGCCGGGCCTTACTGTGAGGATTCTGATCCTCAAGTGTGATTTAATCATCTAACTAAATAACTAATTCAGAATGCGATCTATTCAGTGTGATCAGTCAAGTCTAGACAGTATGCAGATAGATAGACAATGACTTAGATAGCTGCAAGCGCCTGTCTTGTGTGTCGTGTGAACCCTCCTTAGATTAACCAGCCTGAGCGCTCCTCAGCCACAGACAGGACAGTTTCATCCCCATCATTAGAACCTCCACAACAACAATCATCAGCATACTACTCAGCGTTCAATAAACTTCCCCAATTCCCATTCCAGAAATTAGATATTACAGCTTCTACTTCTTTTTTATACATTTTATCTCATTCTTAGTTGTGACCGCATCGTCCGTCTTCATTTCTGGGGCTCTTGCACCCACCCCGCTTCCCAGCCCAGCCGCTAAGCGACAAGGAGACGATCGTCCCAAGCAGACCAAAGACCTTGATAGTAGCTGCTCCTGACTATCTATCGAAACCGCTGGGCTCGCGTCGGACGCAGAAAAGTGAAAGATCTAAAAAGACTGAGTCTCCTCCACCCGGCCTCGATATCCTCATTGTCAGATTCTGGAATACTCTACAAAGGTAAGTTGTGCAGCAATGGTTCCCTGTGACCAGATTAAACGTTTCTGTTTGCCCCTGGTGCTACAATTGTCCGCTTGTTCCTTAACCTACCGCTTCCCCCCATTTTGATCCTCAACTCTGGGGTCATTCGTTCAACCCACCACTTCCTAATTTTGTTTTTCGGATTTGAAGGCGTCGATCTTCCAGCTTGACTGGCTTGAAATCCTGCAATACTTTGATTGATAATTACCGTCGCTTCTACCTGTTGTGGTTGGACATGCTCATGTGGTCATTCCAGGCCGAACATAAACAAATCACGCCGTGGCTCCTCCTTGAACTGCGTTCGCGCTGCCCGACTTAACGCCTCCTGCTAGTGTGCGGCAGCTTGCTGCACTGGCATCGAGAACCTCGACCGAGTACATGTGGCTGGTTACATAGTCTTGACAATGAAGGGTTTCAGACAGAGAGTGGTGAGTCTGCTCGACGATCGCCGTCCTATCCACGTTTCCGCTCCTACATTTCCCCCCCTCCCCGCCTTGCTACCTGGCGACCACCGCAGGACTGCGCTACCACAAGTTCCTGGCTAAAATAAATTCTTCAGCATGAGCAGTTGTCGAGGGCAAAAGAAGCGAATAAGTCCTCGAAGAAGAAAGACTCACAGAATCAGGCCGCCCTCGCAGCCCACCAGGCCCAGCAATCCGCCTCCCCGAACCACGGCACGCCGACTTCATCTACGACCTCCGTCAATGATATAAGGGGAAAGTCACCGGATAATGCCGCGCAAGCGGGGGTGTACCCCGCTGGCCAGCATTATATTCCGCATGGTGCAGGCGTCGCTGGACAGCCTGTGAACAATGGACCAGGGACTCCGACCAAGCCAGGGCAGCCGATTGCTCCTAGCGTGATCATCAGCCCAAGCGCACCGGTGAGTTCCCTAGCGACGCTCCAAAGTCCGTCGGAGACACTGTTCGCGCTGTGACCGTGTTGAAGGAACAACCGATGAGTGCTGACTTTCCATCTCGATAGCATGTCCCTCCCCCTGGTGCCGCAGAGACGATGCCTGGCGACTTGGCTCCTCCGAGGAAATCTCACGTCTTTGATCGCCTCCAGACTACACCCAAGGATATGTCGGAAGGGATTCGGACTCCTAAGCGCCAACATTCGTCGCGATTTGATATCTCCGATCAGCGCCAACGGGAGTTGGAGAAGCTTCCTGGTTTCCACGAAGTGCCACCGAATCGGCGCCAAGAGCTTTTCATGCAGAAAATTGACCAGTGCAATATCATTTTCGACTTCAATGATCCCACAGCCGACATGAAGTCCAAGGAGATCAAGAGACTGGCGCTCCACGAGCTCCTGGACTACGTAGCGAACAACCGTTCAGTGATCACCGAACCCATGTACCCTCGAGTGGTCGAGATGTTCGCCAAAAACCTCTTTCGACCCATTCCTCCCCCAGTTACGCCCCAAGGCGAGGCCTTTGACCCCGAAGAGGATGAGCCGGTCTTGGAAGTGGCCTGGCCGCATATCCAGGTTGTATATGAGTTCTTCTTGAGATTTATCGAGAGTCAAGATTTCAACACCAACATCGCCAAGGCATATATCGATCATCATTTTGTCCTCCAGGTACCCTTGAATCCTCATAGCCCTTTCTTTCCCTCTGAGAGCCACACACCCCGATACTAATCCTCATCAGTTATTGGAGTTATTCGATTCGGAAGACCCTCGGGAACGTGACTTTCTCAAGACCACTTTGCATCGGATCTACGGAAAGTTCCTGAATTTGCGGTCTTATATCCGTCGATCCATCAACAACGTTTTCTTCCAATTCACGTACGAGACAGAGCGATTCAACGGAATTGCCGAGTTGCTAGAAATTCTGGGGTCTATCATCAACGGATTTGCCTTGCCTCTCAAGGAGGAGCATAAGCTCTTTCTGACCCGAGTGCTGCTTCCCATGCACAAAGTCAAGAGTCTCAGCATGTATCACCCGCAACTCGCTTATTGCATCGTCCAATTCCTTGAAAAGGATTCTACTTTGACAGAAGAGGTGAGCCTCATGTTCATTTCAGTGTTCGCCGCCCAGCTCTTCTGATAACGTGGATTCTAGGTCGTTCTGGGCTTGCTACGCTACTGGCCTAAAACGAATAGCACCAAGGAGGTCATGTATCTCAATGAAGTGGAGGATATCTTCGAAGTCATGGATCCAGCGGAATTTGCCAAGGTTCAAGTACCTCTTTTTCAACAACTGGCCAAGTCAGTTGCAAGTCCTCATTTCCAGGTATGTGCAGACAAACTGCCTGTCCAGGACTATATCCTACGATTATGTGACGAGTCAATGACTCTTTCCAGGTCGCGGAACGTGCACTCTACTTCTGGAACAATGAATATTTCTGCAACTTGGTCAGTGACAATGTGGAGACGATCCTTCCCATCATGTTCGCGCCTCTTTACGAGAACTCCAAGGGCCATTGGAATAGGTGAGTCGATCACTAGAGTCTTGGGTGTACTTCTTACGCCAAATCCGCTAAACATTCTCACCCTCTCATAGAACTATTCACAGCATGGTGTACAATGCCATGAAGATGTTCATGGAAATCAACCCTCAACTTTTTGACGAATGTTCCCATGAATATAATGAGCGGCAGAACAGCGCTGAGCAGCGGGAGAAAGCTCGACAAGAACGATGGGAGAAGGTCTTGGAGCGAGCCAGGCAGAGGAAGAACGGACTCTTGCCGCCTCCAGCCCCACCTGCAGATGCGCCAGCGCAAGTTGATGAGGCTGATGCCCTTGCTCAGGATAACCAGAAGCGTCTCAACGCTCTGAAACTGGATGATTCTGAGTCAAACAAGGAGCGGAAAGAGGGTGCACCAACTACGGTAAGTAACATCCCACTCTGACTGGTTTTGTGTTCGCGATTGTCGCATGTGATTTGTCACTCCAAATCAAGGACCATCTACTCTAATTTTGTGTTGCATTCTGTGTATCTTGCTAAGATTTTGCGCATTTCGGCGTCTAGCAAGCGTGATTCTAACGTTGAAACGTCCGTTTGCTCCAGAGACGGCGCCGAGGTTCTCTCGACGGTTCTTATACGCGAAGGCGACGAAGTGGTAGCGGCAGCGAGATTCGACCGCGTGTAGATCGACGACGGTCGGCTGGTTCGAACGCCGTATCGTTTTTGTCGCGAAGCAACTCTCTCAAGTGATGGTCGGTTTGGTAACATGACTCCTCCGTTAGATTTTTTTTGTGCAATGATGGCATAGCGACTATGAGCTGCGATGAAAGTGTATTTGACTTTGTTTGGCTTGACATTCGATACAAGCCGTTCACCCGTGCGAGCCTTTGCCTTGGTCGCTTTCCCCTTTTCCTCCCCTCTTCTTTCTTTTGTACATGACTTTCAATATCCTTCACAGTGCGCGCGAGGCTTATAGAGCCCCCGCGATTGACCAAGCGGACATTTGATTTGGACTATTAGATCTCTGTTCGGGTCTGGAAAACGGGTGCGAATGGCGTTTCGCTCTCAATCGACCTCGATGTCGGTGCATTTTTTTGAGTTTCTAATTAAAGACTTTCAGTCACTTTATGGACTGTCGTATGCTTCCAAAATTATTGATGCACGTGCCTTCAACATGTAAACCCAGGGCCAGGCACACTAGGCACATATCGTCGGTCTGACAGGCTACGTGACGCGACTACCGCGTCAGACGCGCGCCAGCCGGAACGGGGAAACACTCACCCGTAATTTCCTGTTTTGGCTTAGTGTTTCCTTCGGGGTCTCTGCGATACCCGCGCTCTGCTCTACAGCTTTCTGCTCTGGGAGTCCTCAAGGCATGAGTCTTGTGTCTGTGAGGTCTTATATCCTTCCTTCCCTTCACGCTCCCCTCCGCTACTTCTTGATACCCCTCTCTTGGAGCGAATACCTTCTCTTTTGATTATCACCCCCAAACATTAGCCGGGGAAATTTAATGACTTAACGACCGTGTTTCTTTTGCTCACTCTAGCTAGCGTTTTCGTCGAGCGAGTACAGAAACGATTTCTCCCTCGATGTCCCGCATGTGAGAAGGACACGCGAAACCGGTTGTGCTGGCTGTTCAATAATTAGCCGGCCTCG